CCAGCTTAGAGTCAATCTACAAAGAACAGCAGAGTTTTGTTTTGTGTTTGGTCCTGGTATTTTTGATGCAAGTGTTTAAGGAAATCTGTGTCAGCTCAGCTCAGTGGCTGGCCATGGAGATAATAAAGCAGAGACTTCGTGTCTACACATGATAAGGAATACAGTCTATAAAAAGAGTATGGAAATGTCACTAAGTAAACAGGCTACAGTCCTTAATAAGCAATAATAACAGCATATCTTGCAAAGCGGGAAAAATCTGATTTCCAGGATTAACCATAACATAATATTTAAAATGTCCAGAGCTTTCTCATGTTGAAGTGCCCAGTTCTCTTTCTTTCTTCCTTTCTTCCTTCCTTTCTTTTTTTTTAGTTGGAGTCACCCAGGCTGGAGCAAAGTGGCACACTCAGAGCCACCCCAGTGTTGACCTGCTGGGCTCAGGCAATCCTTCCATCTCAGTCTTCCAAGTAGCCAGAACTACAGGTGCGCACTAACATACCTGGGTAATTTTTTTGATTTATTGTAGAGATGAGGTCTCACCAAGTTGCTCAGGCTGTTCTCAAACCCATGGGCTTAGGCAATCCCCTCACCTTGGCCTCCCAAAGTGCTGGGATTACAGGCTTGAGCCACCATGCCCTACCTAAGTGTCCAGTTCTTAACACAAAAATTACAAGGCATCCAAAAGAAAAGAAAAGAAAAATATGACCCATTCACAGAAAAAAAGAAATGGACAGAAGCCATCCCTGAGGAAACCCAGACAGTGGACTTGCTAGACAAAGACTTTAAATAAACTGCCTTAAATATACTCAACTAGCTAAAGGAAACCATAGACAAAGAACTAAAAGAAGCTATGTATAAACAATGAATATCAACAAAGAGACAGAAGTTATAAAAAAAAAGAAACCAAATATAAATTCTGGAGCTTGAAAGTATATAGCTGAAATGAAAATTTTAAAAAGATCAATAAAATTGACAAATCTGTAGCTCGACTAAGACAAAAAGAGTGAAAATGCAAATAGCAAAAATCAGAAATGAAGGCAGGGACATTACTATGGACCTTACAGGAACAAAAAAGGATAAGAGAACATGTGAACAACTGTACACCAATCAATTAGATAACCTAGATGAAATAAATAAATTCCTAGAAACATACAAATTATCAGAAAAAGAAATAATCTGAACAAACCTATTAAAAGTAGAGAGATTGAATCAGTGATAAGAGGTTGAATTGAAAATCAAAACCTTTCAAAAAGCAGAACCAGAAGGCTTCAACATAGTGAATCCTACCAAATTTTTAAAGAATTAACATCCATCCTTTCCAAACTCTGCTAAAAAATAGGACAGAATACTTCTCTGAACTGTTTTTGTTCACAACACTTCTGATACCAAATGTGTGGGTTTTTTATCCCATCCAAAAACTTATTATCTGCTTCCCCAAACATGAGGTGTGTGTTCTGAAATTCAGTTCAATTCTCATACGACCTACCTGGAGTTAGCATTAGATCTCATAGGTTCAAGGCCTCTGTCCTGAAAGCCTACCCACACTTCAGATGCCAATCACAAGTCCAGGGCCATCCATACTTCTGGTTGACCAGCTATGAATCAGAAATTCCCATGATGCCCCTTCTCAGGATTGATAATTGCTAAAATGGCTCACAGGACTCAAGAAAACTCTTTACTTACTATTACCAGTTTATTATAAAGGATACAACTCAGGACAGCCAAATGGAAGAGATGCATAGGGGAATACAGGTACAGGAGGACTGGGAGTTCACAGATCTCCCATACTCTCTCCAGGAATAACATTCTCCTAGCACCTTGATGTGTTCACCAAGCCAGAAACTTCCCAAACTTGGTCATTTAGGTGATTTATGGAGATTGTATTATGTAGGCACAATTGGTTAAGATCATCGGCCATTAGCAATTTAGTGACCTCCTGGGAGGTCAAGGAGCATGGCTGACAGTTCAATACTCTAATCACACCTTGGTCTTTTGTGCCATCAACCCCCATCAGAAGCTACTTCAGGGTCCCTTGCTATCTATCATCTCAATAGCATTCCAAAGACTTACCACTCCTGAGATTTCAAGAGCATTAGGAATTTATGCTAGGAAGTAGGGATAAAGACCAAATATTTGTTTATCTTTAATATTACAACTTCCTGAGTCATCATGCTGAAATTAATATTGGGGGCTAAAATTGATATTAGAGGCTGAAATTCAGCCTCTCAATAAAACACAACATTGAAAGCTAAAATAATAATAATATTAATAATAACCCATGGCTCAAGCCTTTAATCCCAGCACTTTGGAAGGCCGAGACGAGAGGATTGCATGAGCCCAGGGGTTCAAGACCAGCCTGGGCAACTTAGTGAGACCTTGTCTCTATAATACATCAAAAAATTAGCCGGGCATGGTAGCATGCCACTGCACTCCAGCCTGGGTGACAGAGTGAGACTCTGACTCAAAAATAATAATAATAGCCAGGCTTGGTGGCTCAGCCTGTAATCCCGCGCCTTGGGAGGCTGAAATGAGTGGATTGCCTGAGCCCGTGGGTGAGAGACCCGCCTGGACAACTTGGCAAGACCTCATTTCTACAATAAATCAAAAAATTAGCAGGGCATGGTAGCGCATGCCTGTAGTTCAGCTGCTTATAAGGCTGAGGTGGAAGGATCGCCAGAGCCCAGCAGGTCGAGGCTGGGGTGTCAGGAAGCGGCCACTGCACTCCAGTCTGGGCGACAGAGTGAGACTCCAACTCAAAAAATAATAATAATAATAATAATTTTAAAAATAATAATAACAACAACCCAGGCAAGGCAGTCCTTTCTCAGGGATTCTGTACAAGGGCTCGAGTTGGAGTCTCAGGCTGGAGTGTAGTGACACACACACGGACACCCCAGCCTCGACCTGCTGGGCTTCGGCGATCCTTCCGCCTCAGACTTTCGAGTAGCCGAAACTGTAGGCGCGCGCTACCACGCCTGGCTAATTTCTGATTTATTCAAGAGGTCTACCAAGTTGCCCAGGCTGGTCTCAAACCCGAGGGCTCAGGCAATCCACTCGCCTCGGCTTCCCAAAGTGCTGGGATTACAGGCTGAGCCACCAGCCTGTCCTTAAACTGTTTTTACAAAATTTTTTTTCCCCCTCACATCTATAGTCAATTGACCTTACCTACAAAAATCAAAAAATGAGCCTAGCATGGTGGCATGTGCCTGTAGTCCCAACCACTTGGGAGGCTGAGGCAGAAGGATCACTTGAGCCCAGGAGGTTGAGGCTGTGGTGAGTGGTGGGCGTGCCACTGCACTCCGGCCTGGGCAAGAGAATGAGACCCCCGACTCAAAGAAAGAAAAAGAAAACGAAAAGACCATTACAGAATGAAAGAAATTATTTGCAAAGTCTGTATCTAAAAAGGACTGAGTGTTTCCAGCATATATAAACTTTTACAATGCAGTACCAAAAAGACAACCCAATTAAGAAATGGGCAAAGGACTCGAATAGATATTTCTTCAAAGATCGACAGATGGCCAACAAACACATGAAAAGCTGCTTAACCTCAATACTTACTTGGGAAAAGCAAACCCAAACCGGAAGGAGGCACCTCTTTGTACCCACTAGGATAGCTATAATGGGCCGGGCTCGGTAGCTCAGCCTGTAACCCTAAGCCTTGGGAGGCTGAGGTGCGTGGACTGCCTGAGCCCCGCGGGTTCAAGACCCGCCTGGGCAACTTGGGGAGGATGAAAAAAAAGAGGATAGTTATAATAATAATAAAAACAAAAAAACCCAACAAGTGTTGGTGAGGGTGCGCAGAAATCGAAACCTTGTACGTTGCTAGTGAGAATACAACCCCCTAGGCCAATTCTCGGGTCAGGTAGCAATTTCATTCCCGTTCCGTGCCCCACCGGGACATTCGTGTTCCCTTAATGTGCGTAAAAGCGGTGGGGGCGGGGGACAGAACGTGGACCTAAAATCACATGAAAAGAGCGTCCACGGAGCAAATGTCCTACTGCCCGTGGTGCTGCCAGGCCCGCAGGAGGATGACAGGCCCAGTCTCCCCTCCTTCTTTTTTTTTTTGAGCTGGAGTCTCACTCCGTCGCCCGGACTGGAGTGCAGTGGCCGCTCCCGGCCACCGCAGCCTCGACCCGCCGGGCTCCGGCGATCCTTCCGCCTCAGCCTTCCGAGGAGCCGGAATTACAAGCGCGCGC